TTTTTTCTTTTGTTTTGTTTTTTGTTTTCGTTTTTTTTTTTTTGTTTTTTTCTGCTTTCTTTGCTAGCATTCTCCTCAATGTAAGTAAATACGTTAGATGGAGTGGAAAAGAGACGAAAAAGGAAAAAAAAATTAGGAGTAATGATATTTGCTTCTTTCTTTTTTCTTTTCGATTTTTCTCATTTCTGTTCTCTTTCATCCTGGATTTTTTTGTTTTTTTCTCTTTCACGCGGTTGTTTTTCTGTTCTGTCTTAGGCACAGAGTAAGCCCCGGTGTGTTCATCCTGCCAATATATATATATATATATATAGAAGGTGGATGTTTACTTTTTTTTCTTTGGTTTTCTCCTATTCCCTCCACTAAACATTGTAATGGAAAGGGAAAGGGATAAAAAAGAAAAAGAAATAAGAAATAAAGAAAGAGAGTGAATATAATATGGAAATGGGTACAATGAGTGAAACGAAAAAAGAAAAAAAAAAGGAAACAAGTGGGATGATCTCTTTTATTTTTCTCTGCATTTTCTATATAACTATTTATAGTATTGATAAGAGAAGATATTCAATTTTGTTAAAGTCTCTACTAATGGAACCAAAGACCACAAGAAAAAAAAAAGAAGAAGAAAAGGAACAAAAAAAAAAGAAAAACAGTTGAAGGTTGAATGTATGTACATTCTGGATTGGATCTTAGCTGCCACTATTTGTGGGAATTTCTTCCTTGATGACAACAACGTGTTTTTTTTTTTTTTTTTTCTTTTTCTTCTTTTTTATGGGTGTGGTTTTAAGACCATTTGTTTCGTTATTTAGATTTCCTTTTTGTTTTGTTTGTTTTTGTTTTGTTCCCATCGCAATTTATTTAGTATTATACTTCTAATCAAATATTAATAGCTCGGCTTGCTAATTGCGTACATCCCCATATTATTTTAAAAAAGAAGGATCGAGAGGGGAGATGGAAAGAGGAAGGGGAGAAAGATAACAAGAAAGTTTTTTTTTTTCTCTGAAATGAGTGCTAGAACAACGAAGATAGCCAACGAATCAAAAAAAAAGAAAAAAAAGGGAATGGAATAGTATTAAAAACAAAAGTAATAAATGCTTTACTTTTATTTCATTTTTTTTTTTGTCAGTGATCATTTCTTTTTTTTTTTTCACCCCAAATTCTTTTTTTGTTTTTAATGGTGATTACATCATATTTTTCCAGAAAGGAAGATTCAAGCGCCTACTAGGCCTAACTATTTCTGGATTTGTACAGGAATAATTATCTATATATACATATATATAGATAAATATATAGATATAGTTCTTTAGTTATATAGTTATTTGTGTAATAGAGATATTATGCCATCTACCTATAAGAGACAGCGTAGCAGTTCAGAGTATGAGGAAAGCAATGTCTCTGCATTTGTCGATAGTTGTATTCAATTTAAAAGTAATGTAACTTTTCATACTACGAGTGAGGGAAAACAATTGGCGAATGAGGCCCCAAAGGAAGCCACACATACTTACCGCATTGTAGTTCTCCTAGGTAATCAAGAACAACTACATGACAGGGAAAAATTACGTTTTTTTTTTTCCATACTATAACCGTAATGTGGAAGTTGCTATTGAAAAGGCTCTTCTTGGGAAAAACTACGTGGCAGAGATATTACCATATGCACATATTCTTATTGGGGCTGTGGCCTCAAGGGCATCTCGTCATAATTCTCCTCTACGGCCAGATACCATCATTAGTATTGTAAAGAATGCCATTAGCTACGCAAATACAGAGGAATACTGTAATACTATTAATGCCGTAATAGAAATATACAGTTGTGAGTCAGATAATGAACTTGGAATAGCCACAGCTGTGGCACGTGCTGCGAATTGCAGTTTCTCTGCGAGGAGTGGTCGTTCTAGAAATGGTTATTGGGATCATGGCCATACAGTCCGTGTTATCTTCGCACCCAACACAACGAATTATTCCTTAGAGGTGGCTGAAAAGAGATTTGCCTGCGATAATCGAGAGGCATTAAATACAGCAGCGTTAATGGTGCAACTATGCCAACGTCTTGTGGATGCGCCTGCCAATTTATTGGACACGACAACTTTAACAGAAATTAGTGCTGGTCATATTGACCTTTTAAAGTCTATGGGACATGATGTTTCTATTGAGATTATATCGGGTGAGGCCTTGCGAGAACAAGGCTACGGTGGTCTCTACGGTGTGGGAAAGGCCGCGGAGTATCCGCCGCATCTCGTCACTCTCACATACAAACCCCCAAACAATACTGAGCCACTAGAGAGACTCGCACTTGTTGGCAAAGGAATTATATACGATACGGGCGGTCTCTGTCTAAAGAGTGCGGCTGGAATGGCGGGGATGAAACACGATATGGGCGGTGCGGCGGCGGTGCTCTGCGGTTTTCTCGGCTTATCGCGTTTGTTGTCATCATCGCCGTTGTCGGTGACGGCGGTGTTGTGTTTGGCGGAAAATGCCGTTGGGCCGTTGGCGCAGCGCCGCGATGATATCGTGCGATTGCGGTCCGGCGTTACGGTGGAGTTAAACAACACCGACGCCGAGGGACGTCTGGTGCTCGCAGACGGTGTTTATCACGCCACCGCCCCAATTACTATTACTACTAATACTACTACTTCTACCAATAATAATAATAATAATAATAATAATAATAATAATAATAATAATACTAATACTAATACTAATACGACTGGTGTTGTGAACTCTCATCATCCACCGGATGTGTTGATTGACATGGCCACGCTCACAGGAGCGCAGCGCACTGCGACAGGGGCCCAACACGCCGCTGTTTATGCGAACAACTCAGCGATCGAAACACGACTGTTGGAGGCGGGCCGCAGTTGCGGGGATCTCTGCTTTCCGGTGCTCTTCTGCCCGGAGTTCCACGCCATGGAGTTTGGCAGCAGCGTCGCGGACTGCCGCAATAGTCCAGCCTCCGGGACGAGTGCCGCGGTGAGTTGTGCGGCGTATTTTGTGGGACGGAATTTTCACAACTCTTTTAATGGCATGTGGGCACATATTGATCTTGCGGGGCCGGTTGCCCAAGAGACGGCGACGGGGTTTGGCGTCGCACTTCTTCTGCAGACCTTCGCCGCTTCTGCTTTCACCCCGAAATAATAGTCTCTGTGTGTGTGTGTGTGTGTTTGTGTGTATGGTTCTCTTATTACTATATTGGTATTATTGCGGTGAGCACACCAATACAAAAGAGAATATATATATATATATATAAACTGTATGAATAACAAAGAAAAATACTACCAACAATAGCTACCTTAGTCACTATGCATGACAATAAAAGAAGAATAACAGTGTAGTTGTAGATATGAAATGGTCCCTTCTGTCTTTTTTTTTTCTTTGTTAAACCAATTCTTTTATTATTATTATTATTATTATTATTATTATTATTATTATTATTATTATTATTATGGTATGCTGGTTTCTCTCTCTCTCTCCTACCAATCTGTATTCCTTTCTTACCTTTATTTGTGAATTTCACATACTGTGTCGGGCACGGTGTATGTCAGAAATAGTTTTACTATTTATTTTTGAAAGAGCTTAAAGAATGGATAGTAGAGAAATTAAAAAACAAAAAAAAAAAAAACTTTGTTTGGTCCTTGACTAGAAGAATGTATGTGATGTAAATATTTCTAAACGAAAATGATTAAGATTGATTGACTTTTTTTTGTATATATTGACTCTATTACAAAAGCAAAAAGAAAAAAAAAAATGGGATTGTGCGACTTTTGGACGGTTATATTGGGGGATGGGGGAAAAGATATAGGGGAGAATTGAAAGAGAAAGAGTACCTGGTATTTAAGAAGATGGATGTAATGATGAATGACGGGTTATTATTATTGTTATTATTATTATTATTATTATTATTATTATTATTATTAT